GCGGTGATTGGCTTGAAGAAGATGGTATGACCCTCGAGGATTTCTTGGATGGTGATTGCTTTGAAGCCTTGAAGGTATGCAAATGTTGGTATTTAGCCTTCTCATGATATTATGAAGTGTGCTAGGGGAAAAAAAAAAAAAAAAAAAAAAAAAACAGCTAGATTTGAACTAATGCAAATAGTTTTTAGCTGAAAGTATATAGGCAATGTTTGGACCATTTCCATTTTGTTTTTATTGTTTCCCCAAAACAAAACGAGATTTATTACACTTTTCAAATCATTTTCTCAAAACAATTTCAAAAATTTCTCTCTCCTTCAGACATGATGTGACTGCTACAATAAAATGATTTGACTGATACATTGAAAAATGTCTTCACTAAAAAACAAATAAACATCACTTTATCTTTCAATTTTTTTCTTCAAAAATAACTTTTTCTAACACCTTTAAACATGATTTGACTGCTACAGTGTATTTTGTCTCCTTCCAAAATACAAACAAACATTACTTTCATTTTCAAATTATTCCCCCAAAACATATTTCTTCAAAATGAAATCAAAATAAATCCAAAAAGCTTCCAAACATTGCCTTAGTACTTTTAGCTAGGTTGTTTAAATATTTTATTTATTTCTTGTGAAGGTCGATTTATGAACCAAGCCATAATGCTTGCGTTTCTTTTGTTCTCTCGATTTTTACAAGATCTGTTCAATCATTCATATATAGTAAGTTGTTTATGAAATAATTTGATATGTACATAGGAAACTCTGAGAATGTGTGGGAACAGACGAATTCTCTTTGATAACAAAACAAAAGATGAAGCCAAGAAATCAGATCAACTGAAGCAACTTCTTGTCCTAGTGGATGCGGTTGTAGAGAAAAATGGTGGAAAAGGATATACAAAGAAGTAGCTGGAAATCTCGATCCAATGCACAAATTGCGGCAATATCTGCTAAGATGAAATCAGAATATGAAATAAGTTTAAGATAGGATTTAGAGAGTAGCTAAGAGGAAGAATCAGAAGTTGCCATCTCAATATCACCAATATTGTCTTATTATGTAGTAAAAGTATGCTTTGCATTATTTTTAGAGCTGTCTTCTACTTGAAAACTTATAACCCCACTATTTCGTTACATTTACTTCAAAAATGGTACTGAAAAATGGTACTACGTTTATCAAGTCCTATACTTCAAAATGGAAATTTTTGGATTCCTTTTTTAATAGGAAAATAAAATGGGGTTATTTTACATTCCCCCCTAGCCACCAAATAAACTAGGGATAAACCCAAGCCCAAATCATCCTTTGACATACCCCTGGGGAAGCGAAAGTAGTATACTACCCTTATGTGCAATTTTCGGCCAAACTGCATTCAGCATTTATGGTCCTGCATTTATCATTTTCGCTGATTTATTTATTATTATTTTCCTTTTTTTTTTTTAGAAATATGTTTGTTAAATATATATATATATATATATATATATATATATATATATATATATATATATATATATATATATATATTTTTTTTTTAAATTGTTTTTTTAAATTAAAAAAAATATTTTTTTTTAATTTTTTTTTTTAATTTTCAAAACAATATGTTTACAGTAGTGAAAATAACTACATGTAACTATAGTACCTATAGTAATTCATAGTTATGTTCGTTTTATCCTCATAATTTTAGTCGATCAATTGTATACACACACGAATACTGACTTATACAAAATAAATTCATAAAACCCCAACAAAAATTTACAAATTTAAATATTTTTATTATAAATCACATCGGAACCAATAAAATACAAATCGAAAATACATAAATATACGCATATGTAACTACATGTTACTATAGTAATGTATACAGTCTGTTGAACAGATCTGATGTAACTTAAAAAAACAAAAATTTGAAACCTTCAAGGAAAGGATTAATGGCCTTCATTAAGCTGCAATTGCAAAATCAAAACAAATAGAAATTACTTTAGTGCAAATCAACAAATTTGAAGAAAAACATCAAAACACTCAAAAATCACCAAACATTAAGAGATCGAGAGATAGAGAGTAACCACCAATGGTTCCGCGCGGCCACAAATGCAAAAAATATAGAAATAAATCTGAAAACATAAAAATAAACGAAATTACCATCAAAATATAGATCCCGACGAGAGGAATCCAACGGCAGGTGACCCGTCAAATTTCGACGGGTGGAACACAAAATAAAACTCCGGCAAGACCACCATTCTCGAATGAAAAAAAATTGCAGAAACAGATCAGCGTTCGAAACTGAATGAAATCACCACCAAAAGAAAGAGCTTGACGAGAGGAATCCAACGGTAGTTAAACCATCGAATTCCGACCACCGGAGAGAGAGTTATGGCTCCGGGAGGCAATTTCACCGGTGGGAGGTTTGTAGAGGCGGGATTTTGAATTTGGGAGAGAAGAAGATAGAGACCATGAGTGGCTAGGGTTTAAAACTGATTTTAGAAGGGTATTATAGGAACTTCAGGGTAGCCTAGGGGGGTATGTCAAAATATTTTCGAAATGAGGGGAATTTCCCATAGAGTGTAATACACTTGGTAGTTAGTTATATATAATTTGGAAATGAGGGGGGTCTACAAAATAATCCCAAATAAAATAGATAACAACCATGGGACTAGGAGTAAGAATATTGGTTGCTTTATATGAATCGGTCAGTTTAATATGGGTCGGTCACGGACTCACGATTTAATATGAATTCGTTGGTTAAAATCGACAGGTTAAACCCCCATTAATTTTAAAGGGCTCTTTACAAATAAGGACATCAATGGATACTTATTCATATAGAGATCCAGATAATAAACTCTTTTACAAAAAAGTCCACACATAGTCCAGATGTTTGTAAACGACTAAAATAGCCCCTCGTACTTTAATATGCTCCAATTTCATCATTTAATTGAATCTAACCTCAATGTGACCCCAAATTTCACAAATTATTCAATTTTGATCCAAAACACATTTTTATGGACAATTTCGTCCGTCACCACCATTGACCGCCGGTCTCCGGCGTTAACTTTTTTTTTTGTTCCTGATTTTTCCGCCACCGGTTTCTGGCGTTGACTTTTTCGAAAAAAAATTCTTTCTTTCCGTAACATCTTTTTTCTTCGTTTAAACAACAATATTGTTATGATTGACAGTAATATTAACTATATTACTGTTAAACACAGTAAAATTAACTATACTACAGTTTAACACAGTAATATTGCTATATTAATCTCTAGCGCTGTAATATTAACACAATAAAACTCATTATTATTGTGCAATAGAGTAATATTAATATGTTGACCGTTCAACAAATGTAAACATAATAAAAAACCAAAAGAATTAATATTACTGTGACTGAATATTACTATAACAACAGTAATATTACCGTCAACCACAGTAATATTACAATTATAGACAGTAATATTATTACGTTATTCCATGAATAACTCAAACAAAACATTAAAAACCCAAACAAAATAATAATATTGATGTGGTTGACAGTAATATTACTATAACAACAGTAATATTACCGTCAACCACTGTAATATTATTGTATTTACAATAATATTACAATAATAGACAGTAATTTTATTACGTTACTCCGTGAATAACTCAAACAAAACAAAAAAACCAAACAAAATAATAATATTGATGTGGTTGACAGTAATATTATTGTGTATAGTTATTTTACTGTCAACAGTAATATAATTACGTTGACTTGTCAACAAATCAAACAAAATTAAAAAAAATAACAAAAAAATAAATAATAATATTACGTTAATTTACTTTTAACGGCAGTACAATTACATAAATGTATTGTCAACGGCAGTACAATTATGTTAATATACTGTTAGTGACAATATTATTACGTTAATTTACTGTCAGTGACATAGTATAATTACCGTTAATGTCAGCACAATTAAGGTCAACGTTTAGCGATGGACGTAAAAAAAAAAAAGTCAAGGCCGGAATTCGGCGGTGGAAAAAACAGACCAGAAAAAAAAATCGAAATTTCAACGCCGGAATCCGGCGGCAAAAAAAAAATTTGAAAAAAAAAAGGTTTTTGAAAAAAAAAAAAAAGCCAAAATCGAAATTTTTTGGTCAAAATTTATTAAATTGAGATTACAATTTAGAATTGGGTGTAAAGGGTTGGGGGTAATTTTTTCATAAATTTTGGGTGTAAAGGGTTGCGATGCACGGGATATTATTTTAAAAGTGAAAGAGGATGGGCTTATTAGTGAAAGAGGTATATCCCCTAAACCTAGAATAATAAAGATGTTTGATTAGGAACTTATGCACAAAAACCCCAATTTGAAAAATTGTCACGTGATCAACAATCCAGGTTAATGGGTATTGGCCGATGATGATTTGAAACGCCGAGCCGATTCGAACTGGCCAAAATTATTTAGCTTAAGTTTGAATATAAACACATTTTCTGTCTATAAATCAAGGTTCTAAAAGGCAGTTATCGGGTTCGTGGCGGTTAGGGACCGCCACACGATAAATCAGCGCGGCGGTGTCAGGGATAATTCGGAAATAAATCGGCTTTTTAATTTAATGTAATATATTTTTAAATATTATTTGTTAATACTCAAAATATATATAAAATAATATTTAAACATAATTCTATCCTACCATTCATATGTTATTATATAATTCTAATTATTCAATAAATAACCAAAAATTAAAAATAATTAGATCATAATATAATAAAAGATTTTTACGAAATATAAATACTATGCAAGTTTTTCGCATCAACAATTAATATAAACATAACAAAGCATAAACTCATGTTTTGGGTTATCGCTAAATTCTTCTTTCTTGTCGGGTACAAGTTGCGGGGTAGTATTTGGTTTAGTTTTGGAAGTTGAAAGAATTGAAAAAAACAAAAAACAAACAATGTTTTCATTTTAATTTAAATTTAAAAAAAAAAGAAAAAAAACCGATTTGTTGACCGATTTATCGTTTGACCCGCCAAAGACCGCCCCAAACCGCCTCGCCGTAACAAAACCCATATTCCAAACCGCCTCAGCAAAATCGTAAAGGTTTATAACCGATACCGATATGGCGGCCGATATATCGAGCGCCACAACCGCTATTTAGAACACTACTATAAATACCAGCAATCATCCTCATCTCTAACCAATTCACTCTCTCAACTCACGTTTCACGAAACGCGCTTGGTCCATCAAATTGTTTCATTTTTATCTCTATTTCGGTAGTGTTTGCAAAAGCTTTTAAAAATAAATTATGAGTTTTTTTCTCACATAATCTGTTTTTAGGTGTTTGCAAAACCGACTTTTGTTTTTGCTTCTCAAAATAAGTTGCTTTAAGCTGTAATTTTAAAAGCACCCATATACCTGCTTTTTCTATTTTAATTGATTTACTTCGCAAACACCCCCAACTTTTAGAATTAAGCACTTAATATCAACTTAACTCATAATCATTAATGTATGTTTTTAAATAAGCTTTTGCAAACACCTCGAATTCATATGTTAGAACTTACAACAAACAAAACGTCAGTTAAAACTTCGTATTCTAAGCATTTTAACAAAGTAAAACTCTAATCCAGATACATTTAAGCAAAATGCAAATATTGCACATTAACTTCGTTCATTTATATTTCCTAGGGTTAACTGCAAAAAATCCCCTAAACTTTGGATGTTTTTGCACTTTACCCCTTGAACGGAAAAAAATTGCACGAGCATACCCGGACTCTAGTATTTCTAGCACCGACATCAAAATCGTCCAATTTTAGCTAAATTGTTCCTTGAATTGCACACGTACAACCCACACGTGAAAATGGGAGGGTAATTTTGTCAACTCACAAGATTTTTAGAAAAAAGAAAATTAAAAAGGAAAAATGAAAAAGAAAAAGAAAAAGAAATAAAGAGAAATAGGAAAAAAGAAAACAGAAAAGGCCTCTGTCTTCTTCCTCTCTCCCTACATCTGCTCCGCCGCTTCACCAGCACCAAATGTGCCTCCAAACATATTTAAGAGGACGAATCCCCTCACATTCAATTAGTGAACTTGGAAAGAAATAAATTTATAAATTATGCATTTAATATTCGGGTCGAATTCATTACCCGAATGGCCGAACCGCATCCATCAAATATCTTTCTCGCAGCAGAGTTACAGAAGGGTTTATCAAGGGTCTCATTTTGAACGAAAAATCTCTCTCTCTCTCTCTCTCTCTCTCTCTCTCTCTCTCTCTTGCTGGTATGTATGTTACGTTACACTTTCTTCATATACAGGGGATAACTATGGTGTAACTCAGTCCTTAGGGATTTGATTTCAATTAAACCTCGTAGTTGTCTGACTTTTCTGCTTCATTCACTTTCTGAAGCTGAATATTAGGGTGGAAACAAATAATGTGATTTGATTTGGCTGTAGATCGTGGAGATTCTGCTAATGGCATTGTCAATTTCTAGAAGGGTATTACGAAGCAGGCAAGCGGCGGATAGCGGCAAATTAGAAGCGGCAAGCGGCGAATCAGAGCCGACGGGCGGCGGACGGCTGTGGGCTGAAGAAGGACGAAGAGTAATTTGACTTTTGGTGGTGGTGACGTGAAGAAGATGAAATTTTTTTTCTTTTTCTTTTTTTTTTTCTTTTTTTTTAAGATTTATATATATTTATTAAAAAAGAAGGAAATAAGTGTAAGTGGAAAAGACCAATTTATCCAGCTCAAATCACGTGCTTCTCACGTGTTGTGGATTCCGGTCACTTTTTGCTGAAAATGGACAATTTCTGCTCTGGTGTTAGAAATTAGTAAGTTGAGGTATGCGATTGCCCGTGCATTTTTTTCCAGTTCATGAGGTAAAGTGCAAAAATGTCCAATGTTTAGGGCATTTTTTGCAATTAACCCTATTTCTTATTTTCGAAAATATAAAAAAACTTATTGCGTAATAGAATATTATTTGCATCTACAACCTTTATTTTATTTGGATGTGGTTCCCCCCATTCCATAATCTTCTAAAATACTTTGATAAAATTGACCACAATAATACATCTTAAATTGATACGAATAATAATAATGGATTTATGTATATTTATTTTGTGATCACAAAGATCAACATATATAGATACATACGGTAATCTATTCTAGGAAGGATATTGACCATAATATTATATGCTATAATCAAGGTTAATTACATGGCAAATATACATCAATTAATATATGCATATCACGGCACAAATCGTGGGATTTGTTCCAACACTCCCCCTCAAGTTGGCGAGTGAATATTATGAAGTCCCAACTTGTCTCTTAAGAAGCGGAATTGCTCAATTTCTAAAGGATTAGTAAAGATATCTGCGAGTTGAGAACGTGATGGTACATAGGATGTAGAGATGACGCCAGTTCGTAGTTTTTCTCGAACAATGTGACAATCGATTTCTATATGTTTAGTTCGTTCGTGGAAGACAGGATTTCTGGCGATGTGGAGAGCGGCGATGTGGAGAGCTGCTTGATTGTCACAAAATAAGGTAGCTGGCTGATTTTGTATGATCTTCAGGTCTTGCAAGATATATCGTATCCATGTAATTTCCAAGCACGTCGTCGCCATTGCCCGATATTCTGCTTCTACGGATGAACGTGCCACACTTGTCTGTTTCGTTGACTTCCATGAAATCAAAGAGTTTCCTAAAAAATGCAATACCCCGAAACAGATCGTCGAGTCATCGTACACCCTGCCCAATCCGAATCGCAATAGGCTTTTAATGTAAGATTATTGGATGATGAAAAGAGTAGCCCTTGACCGGGATTCCCTTTAAGAAATCTCAATATCCTTAGAGCAGCTTCCCAATGTGGCTTTCGAAGGCTTTGCATAAATTGACTTAGAATTTGTACAGAATACAATATATCAGGCCTCGTCACCGTAAGATAAATCAATTTCCCAACAAGCCTATGGTATTTTGTAGGATCATGTAGTAAATCACCCTCGTCCGAGTTCAACTTCAAATGTTCCTCCATCGGAAATGAATGAGGACGAGATCCTAGTAAACCAATATCCTTTAAAACATCTAATGCGTATTTCCTTTGAGAAATGAATATTCCTTTATGAGATCGAGAGACTTCAATTCCTAGGAAATATTTTAAGTCACCAAGATCTTTGATGCGAAATTGTCGATGGAGAAATTCCTTGAGAGACTTAATGGCTTGGTCATTATTCCCGGTGAATATGATGTCGTCCACGTAAATAAGAACTGCGGTCAATGAGTTCCCTTTAGATTTTGTGAATAAGGAATAATCAACTTCTGATTGATCAAATCCGGCCTTTTGAATGACATGAGTGAATTTGGCAAACCAATTACGTGAAGCATGTTTTAAACCGTAGATGGGTTTATTGAGTTGACATACAATATTCTCCCCCTGTCGGCGAAGTCCAAGGGGAACGTCCATATAAACTTCTTCATCGAGATCGCCGTGAAGGAACGCATTTTGGACATCTATTTGATGGAGGAACCAATTTCAAGAAGAAGCAACAGCTAGGAGGCATCGCATAGTAGTGAGTTTAGCGGTAGGGGAAAAAGTTTCCAAATAGTCTACCCCTTCAATTTGAGTATAACATTAGCAACAAGACGAGCCTTGTATCGTTCGATTGATCCATCCGAATTGTATTTGATTTCGTAGACCCATCTACAACCAATCGGCCGATGTACATGAGGTAAAGGAACAAGCTGCCATGTATTATTATGAATGAGTGCATCCAGTTCAGACTGCATAGCATCTCTCCATTTTGGATCGAGAATTGCCTGAGAATAGTTAGTGGGCTCACGGTGGCTAGATATTCTTGCAAGGAAAGAAAAATGTGAAGGAGAAATGCATGAATAAGACAAAGATTGAGAGAGGGGATGTTTTGTACCTCGATGAAGACCAGACAACGGAGATGATAATTGGTTGGAAGTAGTTTGAGCAAAGTTCATAGAATAATCTGCATGCCAGGCCGGCCGTGCGTTCGATCAGAGTCGCGAGTTATGGGTGCAGGTGGTGGTTCAAGTGGCTCAACTTGGGTTGATGGAATGGTGGAAAATTCAGATAGCTCAACATCCATGGATATGGATTGTTCTGGGCCTGAAAGGTCTGTTACCACTTGTGGTTCGTCAATGGAAGGAGGTTCAGTGGTAGATGGGATGGTGTTCAGAGGATAGAGATGGGGAGGACTCGGGTTAGGTAATGGTGGATTATTTGGTTGAAAAGGAAAGGTATTTTCATAAAATTTGACGTCCCGACTAGTAAAAAAATTATTAGTGGATAAATCGAATAATTTATAACCTTTTTGAGCAGTAGGATATCCGACAAAAACGCAACGAGTAGCACGTGGTTCGAACTTGGATTTAGATTGGACTATAGTTGCATAACATAGGCATCCAAACACACGAAGATGGTCGTATGACGGAGAACGGCCATATAACCGTTCAAATGGAGTAAGATCAGAGATAAGAGGTGTTGGCAAACGATTAATTAAATAGACAGCGGTTTGAACACATTCTCCCCAAAAAGTAATTGGCAAATTAGATTGAAAAAGGAGAGCTCGGGCTACTTGTAAAATATGACGATGCTTGCGTTCGACAACCCCATTTTGTTGTGGAGTGTAAACACAAGATCGTTGAAATTCAATTCCATTTGTGATTAAACAATTGTTTAAGGAAGTGAATTCCTTACCATTATCACTCCGAAATATTTTTACGTGTGAGTTAAACTGATTTTGAATAAAAGTAAAAAAAGACTTGAGCAAAATGGAAGCATCAGATTTGGTTTTCATAAGGAATGCCCATGTGCAACGAGTAAAATCATCAACAATTGTTAAAAAATAACGAAAACCTGAATGTGTGGGACATTTATGAGGACCCCAAATATCACAATGAATTATTTGAAATGCCAAACTCGAAGAAATTTGACTAGACGGAAAAGGAAAACGAGTTTGTTTAGCAAGATGACAAATATCACAAATATCATTAAAAGGTTCATCAAATGAAGAAATTGACTTAGATACTAGCCGGAGGCATGCAGGCGATGGATGGCCAAGACGGTGGTGCCATGTATGCTTGTTGGTGTGGGTATGATGCACGAGGGGTGCATCGGGACCTGGTGACATGAAGTATAGACCTCCACTTTGCTTACCCCAACAATCATCTTCCCCGTAGCCAAATCCTGCAAAATACAATAATTTGGAAAAAGGATTACACCTCAATTCAAGGTCTTGGTGATTTTACAGGCGGATATCAGATTTAATTGAAAAGAAGGCACGTGGAGAACATCCTTTAGAGAAATATCTTTATTGAAGTAAATTGTGCCGGTAGAATGAATAGAGGCAGTAGAGTCGGTGGGTAAATTAACATGAGGTGTGTTTGGTGTGTGTTTGTTAACGAGTAATGAAGAATCAGAGGTGATGTGATCCGTAGCCCCACTATCTAAAATTCAGAAATTCGACGAAACAGAATTAATAGAGGAATAGCTATACAGACCTGCTGCATTTGCATAAATATCACTCTTACTCTGAGACATAGAAGCCATGGCAGTGGTCAATTGCTGAATTTGGTCCTTAGAGAATCCCGAAAAGATGGCTTGTACGTCGGGGTTGAGAGAAGGTGGAACATCAGTTTGATTTTGCTGATTACCCATGTCGTTCGTAGCCATAGAAGTGGTGGTAGCGTGTGCAGCAGCATGCTTTAGTCCAAAAAGAGGATTGCCAGATGGCTTAGTATTCTTTGATTTGTATTGAGGATCATATCTTGATTTGAAATTGGGATCATGTCTCGGATGGCCAAGAGGAAATCCGTGAAGTTTGTGACATGTGCTTATATTATGACCATCTTTTTTACAGTAGTGACAAAAATGATCTTCAGTCTTGGAGTAAGAATTACCGAAAGACTTTGTATGCACTTTGGATGTGCGCATAGCTGCTGCTACAGAAAATAATTCATTGGCAGCACCATTGCCGACCTCTCGTTGTTTCTCCTCCTGAGTGACCATGTTATATGCCTCTCGAATGTCAGGTACCGGCTTCAAGAGTAATATTTGACCACGAGCGTTCTTGTACGAGTCATTGAGTCCCATAAGGAATTGCATGAGTCGATCCTCATTATGACACGCATCTCTGATCTTCTTTTCGTCACATTTGCAACAATCACATGAGCAAGGAGGACGATATGAATCGAGTTCGTCCCAATACCCACGCAATTTTGTAAAATAGTTTGCGACTGACATGGTCCCTTGAACGTGTGAGGCAATAGATTGTTTGATCTCGAAAATCCGGGGCAGATTGCCTTGGGAGAATCGAGCGCGAAAATCCTCCCAAACATGTTGTGCAGTAGGAGCAAAGAGAACATTCGGAATAAGATCCGATGAAACAAAGTGGGAGAACCATGAAATCAATATATGATTTGCTCGCTCCCATAGGTGATATTCTTCAGGATGCGTAGCTTTGGAAGGCTTCTTGAATCTGCCATCAATGAAACCTAATTTGTTACGAACAGAAAAAGCAATCTCGACTGATTTGCTCCACGTGGCCCAGTTTTCTCCATTTAATAATTGTGATGAAAGTGAGAGTGATGAATTATCAGAGTGATGAAAATAATAATAACTTGAGGGGTCAAGGTTTTCTTTTGATTTCTCTTTAGATTGAGCATCAATCATGATAAATATATTATTATATGAGGAATTGATGAGGAGGACAAGTAATTATGGATTAATATGGAGTAAGAAGAAAATAATAAAGTTGGAAGTTTTCATTGATGGTGGGTGTAAATAAATTGATTTGTTGAAGATGGTGGAGAAGAAATGATCGTTCTGTAGGCTGATACCATGATAAGAATAATAATAATGGATTTCTGTATATTTATTTTGTGATCACAAAGATCAATATATATAGATACATATGGGAATCTATTCTAGGAAGGATATTGACCACAATATTCTATGCTATAATCAAGGTTAATTACATGGCAAATATACAGCAATTAATATATGCATATCAAGGCACAAATCGTGGGATTTGTTCCAACATAAATTGAACCAAACACTAATAAAAATACTAACATTAATTTTAAATATTAATAAAATATTAATTAATTAATTAGTACTTGGCTGAATTAAATCATTAATAGAAATTTATTGAGTTTAACTGTAAATATGCAAGCTCCATACATAAATGATACTCGAACCAAAAAAAACTCTTCAAAACTACTTACACAAAAGCCATTATTAAAATCATAAACTACCGGCGCCGCCGCCGCCGCCCAACGCCGGCGGCGTATGCACCGGAAAATCAGCCCCGGTCCAATTGGTCTCCCCCCAATGCCTCAACATACTCCGCCAATTGCAATACGGATCAACGCACCTCTTCAAACGGCCATCCTTAATCTCAATTCTCCAGTGCCCGTCGGAGTAATTCCCCTCCGCCGCCCGCCGCCGATCCCACTCGAGCTGCGCCTTCTGCTTCGACTCCAGCAGGCAGAACTCCCTCAACTCCTCCGGCATCGAGTCGTGCACCCTCCACCACTTACCATGCGCCACGTCACTCGCGAACTCCCGCAGTATGTCCACATTCCAATTGCAATCGTAATCCCTAAAACACATCCACGGCTTGTTCCCCAAATAATGCAGCACGTACAAAACCGGCGGCTCGGCCGCAAACAACCGCGTCTTCTTCTCCCTCGCCAATTCGTCGTCTCCGATCCAGAAATTCTTCAGAAAATTCATGTGCTTCGGAATCCGGTGCCAATACGTGAAAATCTCATTCAAATAACCCTGATCTCCGCCATTATAGGACTCAATTTCATCCACATGATCCATCAAAAGCTTGAATGTACAATTCGACGGCTCGATCACCATTACGCCGGAATTGAATAGGGTTCCGTTATTGCCCGTGGCGGAAATTTGGGGCATTTTGAATAAGAAATCGATGTTCCGTAGGATGAGTAGATCGGCGTCTACGAATATGATTTTGTCGTAATCGGTGAGCTGCCATAGCCTGAACTTGCTGTAGTTCCACTCGTTGTAGGCGTCCTTTTCGGCTTTCGGGTTTCGGATTCGTTTTATTGTGCGCACTTTCCATCCGGAGGATTGTAGACCGCTCCGGTGATGGTCGCCGATTGATTCGTCGACGAGGATCACGAGGTCGCGGGTGGACCCCGACATGCGGATGCTCTGCGCGGCCGCTATGGCCCCGCAGACGTAGTCGTTGGCCGAGTGTAGGATTGTTGCGTACGCCTCCCGTTGCGTTTTTCCCGAATCGTCGTCCCGTTCTGTTTATTTTTATAGCCATATGATTGTTATTGTTGCAAATTGATATTTACTTAGACAATTACAGACGTAGAGAGAAATAGCAGGTACACGGGTGCTCTTAAAATTATAAGTTAAAACAGCTTATTATAAGAAAAGCAAAAGTAAAATGTAAAAGCTTGTTTTTCAAACAACTAAAAAATGATTATGTGTAAAAAAAACTCATAATGAATTTCTAAAAGTATTTGCAAACACCACCTAAGTTTATTTTTCTCTATCCATTTCTTTGGCTCATTCATAAAAATTTTCGAAACCTTTTGAAAATTTTAAAACTTATATGATTTTCAAAATTTTCGAAATTGCAAAACATTCGACACTTTTGGAATTGGAATAGATTTCTAGATTCCGAAAATTTTAGAATTTGAAGTAGTTTTGTAGTTTCGAAAAAAAATTGGATTTTTTTCTTTCAAAAATACTAATTATGATCCAATCCATCCGACTTTCATCTCCAGCTCGTGGACCAGACAACTTCTAGTACATATGATGCTCAATAACAAAAATTGCAATTATAAGTAAACAAATAAATTAGGAAAATTTTGGAATTGAACTTACCTATGGATGATCCCAATGGAAGTGAAAGCTCACAAGATCCAATCGGCAATTGAATCTTTTGCCTCAACGCATTCAAATCCGGTCGATACAACCACACATTTCCTTCACGCGCTACGAGATCCTTGCACGTAAAAAGATTCGGTATAGGGAAGCACCTCGTCACGAAAACGAGATGCACTGGATAATTCCCCTTGAAGGATGCAGCTACGCCAGCAGCCGACATCTGTAAATGTAGCCTAGCCACATCCCTCGACCAATTCCCTTCGTTCCGACAAGGAAGTTTGACCGCAACGAGATCCACCCGTTTCCTCGGGAAATCGACACCTGGCAGTGAAGGGCATTTCGGTAATTCCTCCTCTTGTTCCTCGTCGATCCACTCGGGGTATAAGGACTCCCATGTCACGTTTTTGTCGGCGTAGTCCATTTGGAGGACCAAGTGGTGATTGGCTGCCGGAGTCAACTTCTTCCATTGCTCGATTTCGCGCTCGTTGAAATTAAGTAGGCCGATTCCTTTGATTTTATTTTCCGATGGGATTTTTTTTAATACGGTTAGTATTTCTTCCGATTTTATTTCTAGATTCGATATGTAACGAGGGTCCGAGGCACTTCCCCATATCCACCTGTTCACAAAATGTTGCCTGCATTAAGTATTATGAGTTCCATATAAGTATAAATTTGGTTTAGATATTTAATTAATGTTAATTAAATTTAATTAAATGAAAACGTACCGAGAAACGCTGCGCGATGTACGGTTTTGATTGCAAACATTCGGAGACGAAAGAATGGTGAGAAAAGTGGCTAGTAAAATAAAAAGGAGAACAAATTTCAATGGTGGGAATTTGCAATATCTAGTGGTGCTGCTCTTGCCCAGTTTGAAAGTATCTGTCACAACACTCCTCACTTTTATCCTCTGCAATTTTCTTTTGTATGCATCCTCTCTGTTTTTAACAAATATATATATTTAGTATTTACAAACAAAAACAATTAAATAAATAAAAAAAATCCATTGTTAAATTAAATGGGATTTTAGAGCTCAAAATCAAGAATTAGTATGTCTCGTTAACCGTGTATAGTTAGTTATATTCGATCTGACCGGAAAGTCGAGTGTAGCTTGTTTAGTTGATTAAAAGAAACAATGTATACCGTATGAAGATGATTTTGCCAAGAGTTGTTTGAATGTATATTCGACACTCCGGAAAAAAGAAAAGGTGATCGAAAAGGGAAGAAATATAAACTCACAGGCGTTGTCGGGAATCCATCGAGGCTTCGGAAACTATTGATCATTCATACTCCAATCTGCTAACAGAGAGAGAGAGAGAGAGAGAGAGAGAGAGAGAGAGAGAGAGAGAGAGAGAGAGAGAGAGAGAGAGAGAGAGAGAGAGAGAGAGAGATGTTGTATGTAGTTTAGAGGAGGGCTCTGTTTGGAAAATGGTGGGAAAGGAAGAATAAAGAGCAGGTGGGAGAGTAGAGAAGAATATAAAAATAAGTAACGTCCATTTGAATTCATCTGTCTTTAGGTACAAATACATGAGTTGTACAAACAACTACCAAATTCAAATCTTTTCTTTACATACACTTTTTTTTTTAATTTATAATTAAAAGATTATAATTTTGATATTTTATTAGAAGATTGACACCTCTATTTCTCTTTTACTCCGTCGCGTTCCTTAATAAGTGTCGTTTTTCACATTTGCACAAATTTTAAAAATCTGAATAAATGTGGCTTGGTATTAGGAAAAACACACATAAAAAAAACTATAATAATCTTGGTTATTTAATAATTTAAATTTTAATGATGTGATAAAAGAAAGTTAATACTTCAATTTGAATTAATAAGGATATAAATGGATTAATAAAAAAAAGGTTAATACTTAGAGTTGAATTAATAGATTTCTGTGTGTGCAATAATAACAATAATATTTTGGTCGGTTCTATCTTTATTGGTAAAAGGAAAAAAAAATAGATGGATTGTTTTTTTTGGTAATCAAGGAAACGGCAGCCAATTATATACGTGCATCGAGTAAATTCTTGTATAATATCGTGTATACCATACAAACGTAAACCACACTAAGTTAACCATGTGTGACAAGCTCCACCTAACGACCATTAGCAAAGGGATTCGAATTTGGATCAATTGACACACATTCACTTGCTCCAACCACTGGAATAAAAAAAATAAAAATAATAAAAAAAGATGGATTAAGTTAATGAAAAGAATAGGGTTAGCTGTAGATGTATACATCTCTAAATTGGTAATAATGATTAGTATGTCATATCTCACTAACCAAATAGGGAAAACGTGATTTTCTAGGTGGGTGCAACCATTAATTTGGTTTGATCAATAAGGTTAAATCTCCGGTTAACAAAGATTAACATTTGAGACACTAATAAAACTAATTAAACCAATTTTTTGTTCATCTCTTTGTTGTTAAGTGGTCCGAAATGCCATTCGTTTGCAGTAATAATTACTCAATAAATCAAGTCAAAAGCCAATGTAATTGTCTTTGAAGAGGTGTTGTATTGATTGTTAGCTAGATTTTAACATGCATCCTATTGTTTGTCATTGAAAGAACTCACGACTCCATTTCAAAATATGTGTCGTTTAACAATTTTTTTAATTTTATGCACATTAAGAAATTCATCAAATATAGTTGAATTATAGGGAAATAAATAACAACAGTTAAACTAAGCATTTGCTATTAAATTTGGTGATAAAAGAGAGTTAGGTGGTGTTTGCAAATGCTTTTTGAAAGTGAGCTTTTTTGCTCATAATCTGTTTGCAGATGTTTGCAAAATCAACTTTTGCTTTTGCTTCTATTAAAATAATATGTTTTAAGCTATTTTTTTAAAAGCACCAATAACCCTGCTTTTCTATTTAAGTTCATTATCCGAAATATTTGCAGACACCCCCAACTTTTAGAAGTAAGCACTTAAAACTGAGTTAACTCACAATCACTAACTTCTATTTTTAAATAATCATTTGCAAACACCAATTTAATAGTTCATAAAATTTCGATTAATATGCACCTTCCCCTACTAGTACCCATCAACCGTCGACTGCCTAAATTTTTTCACTATATTATTGAAAAACTATTATTTTCATCTAAATTGTCCATTTTCAGTCCAACACTCAAACTGCTTATTTTCAGTCTAAACTCTCCAACTATGTGTTCTATTTTCAGTCAAAGCTGTTCAACTAGGTTGCCCGATAAACTTTTAGCAAATTCAAAATATCGAGCAAAGTGTTAGCTAGACAAATTAATTTTGAGGGACTTTTAGCTAATTTCAATTTTTTTTATATATATCTTAGCAAGAAAATATTGTGCTAGAGATGGAATAATAATTGTGTTTAATACTGCAGTTTAGACTTAGAGATGGAATGTACACCAATTAATGGGACTTTTGTCCCACTTTTGATTATTTCTCATCTTATTCTCTCTTTTTAAGATAATCTAAGTACTATGAATTATGATAATAATGGAGAATAAAAGTTGAGATCTCTTTTTCTTGAGATGGCATTGGTGGTAGAGTGTATGAACCGATCAATACAATGGAATAGTCAAATCAAATATAATGATCATGAAAAAGTAAGCAATATAATGTGGTCATGTTTCAACCATCATTATTATTATTATTTTTTTTTTTTTGTATATAATAATTATTTGGCGTTTTAGTAATCTATTAAAAGTAAAAACAAAACAGTCTCTCCGTTCCAAAAAAAAAATAAGGAAAAAGTCTCTAAACATTTATCGGGAAACTGCACATATTAAGAGTATATGTAAAATGACTACAAGCCCTAAGAAAATTTAATTTATAGGAAAAATTAGTAAATGATCTTAGAAACAGACGAACATCGGACTTTTTTCTTTTTTTTTTTAATTATCGCTATACAGTTTAGAGAGTTCTAGCTAATTTTCTTATAATATATATTTTTTCTTTTGATAACGAAGGAACCAGCAGCCAATGGCAGAGCTACCCTTTGGTAATGGTGTACTTCAGCCCACTCTGAATTTTTAAAAAAATATACTATATGTTATAGCTACATATAATTAGCCCACTCAAATAGTTTAGTTTAACCCACTCAAGTAATTTAGTTTATCCTATCCACCAAAAAATTATGAAACATTAGTTAAAGTTTATAAATTTGTACTTATTATGTACTATTTTATGTGAATGAATCAAAAAAGAAATTCAGGGGCACTGCCCCCGAACCTGTAAATGCTAAGCCCACCCTATTTCAACTTCCTGCGTTCGCCACTACCCGCAGCCAACTATATAGATATGCTCGGTAAATCTACACTCTCGTATAATAGCTTACAAAATATATGAGAAAAAACGTAAAACAAACTAGGCTAATTATGTGCGATAAACTCCACCTGACGAACATTGACAAATTGATTCGAACTTGATTCAATTAACACATGCTCACTTATTCCAGCCGCTAGACGATTACTTGGCCAAAAAAAAAAAAGAGAAAACCAACGAATTAAACATACACAAAACTAAGCTAAAACAATCATCCGCTTGTATGTTGATTTATTTTCTTGACCACTATTGCTTAACCAAATAAATAATGATTTGAAAAACTAGTTAATAAATTGCTGACACGTGGCAATATAACTACCCACCATTGGAGGGTGTGACATCCTTGTATGACTGAACCTTTTCACCTTTCGCCACGTATTCGGCGGTTCCTCTATCACATACGTAAAATCATATCCTAAGAATAAAATATAATATGTATTGAATATATATATATGTATAACTCTTGAGATAACTTTAAAGTTTAAATAATTCGTTGAAAAATTCTATACTATAGCTGGAAATATATATTATTCTATTTTCAGCTGAATTTGTCAGTTCGTGAGCCATATTCGTGGTTATTGCGTAGCTGGAAATCACGTTTGCTCAAATATAAACACATGTTTTAAAATAAAATTTAGAGAAAAAAATGAAAAATAAATATCCATTGCATAAATTATAATTAGACTTGATATGTGAAAAGAAAGAACTGTTGGACAACCCTAAGCAATACTAATGATTTTTTTTTTTCAATTAATTTTTTACATTATTTATTTCTACCAATTTTTTATTTATAAAAAGTTCAAAATAAAACCAAACCGTGTAGAATTATTTCAAAATCAATCCTTATTTTTCAAGCATACATCTCTAATTACATATTCACTTTCCTTTTGTGATTTAAATATCACTAATAAATTTTATTATAATAATATAATGTAATATATTTTCTTATTAATAATTGTTATTGATGTATTTAAATAATTAATTTTTTTCCACTTTGAAATGTTATTGGTACACGAGGAATACTAGTGTAAGATTTTGTTTTCCATATAGGAACATAAATGTATTTCAACGAGTGATATGTAATAACTTATTATTAGGAGTGAAAGTCGGATGAATCGGATCGGAATTAGCTTTTTCGAATTTTTTTTGAAAAAAATCGCAATCTAAAAATTCATCTCAATTCCAAAAGGACCGAAATTTTTAGAATTATGGAAAATTCTCAGAAATCACATAAGTTTTAAAATTTCAAAACTTAGTGGAAATTTTTTGAAAATTTCATATCAAAAAATAAAAACATCCACGTCGATAAATGTAAAACTAATCACTACTAAATTTCAGTTAAAAAAATAAATAAAATAAAACACATCATAATATCCAATAAAACTGCTAGCAGCAATTCAATATGTCAAAATCTTAAAACAAAACTTAAATATAACATAAGAGAAACTAGAGTTTTCCGTAAAAAAAACTAAGGTTTTTTAGGTGACATATAGCATAAGAAAATCTTTGACATGCCCATAAAATATAAATACAAATAAATCATTAGTTTATTTTGAATTATGTAAAATAAGTATTATATAATATATATTATAAATACAATTAAATCCTTAGTTTATTTTGAATTATGTAAAATAAGTATTATATAATATATATTATTTATAGGTGTATTTCTCGGAAAAAAATAGAGAATTTTAGAATTAATTTCGAAAATTAAATCGGATTGGAAATCGAAAATTCCAACTTTTTTTTTTTATATAATTCCAATTATAGTAAAAAAACATCAGAAATTGGTATTTCGAAATCAGAATGAAAAAGTTTTTCCAAAATTGATTTTTTTTGGATCTGAACCGGTGAAAAATAGAAATTTTGTTCCAACTTGCACCTCTAGTAATTATAATATTGTTGCTGGAAATAAAACTTATCCAAACGATCTAAACTTTAGCAAAGTTATGATGTTTGTTTTGGGTATTTATTTGTTTATTTATTTATGGGTCCA